CCGATTACAGAATCGGATGATCCCTGCCGCCGTGCCCCCAGCATCACCTCTCACCAATCGCCACCTTGTCTACTGTACTTTTGCGCCGATCCGCCCAGATCTTGCATTCTTCACACCTATTTGGGTTCTATATTTGCAGACGTTTAGATTGGTTCACACAGGGGCTGACCGTAGTTTAGTTTAGTAGTGCTAGAAGCTTAGAATTGGTTGTGCGGTGAGTGTAGATTCGTACATCATGATGGATGGTAGATTGCTAGGACGGGAATTTGAGGAAGAGGACAAGAAGAAGGACTTGAGCCCTTGACGTAGCCTTGGCATGGGCTCTGCTTGGCCGGAGTGCCTCGGTCAGCTCAGAGCCGCAGCGATGCTTGTGATGGAGGGACACCGGGCCCGGTTCCGGTGGCTTTGTTGATTTAAAAAAAAATGATCCTTTTTCTCTAGGGATAATTGCATATGTACCCCACTTAAAGATGGGAATGCCCGCTATACCCAGTCCCAGTGGCAACATGCACCTATACCCGGAAAAATGCCGGTGGAAATTATTTGCATGCCCAGGACTGAGGTGGACACAGGTGGTACCGCAACATTGCAGTTATAACCAACTACCGGAATGCACAAATTATGGACATACCCGGGCAAAATTATGGGCGTCCCCCGGACTGAGGTGGGTCGGGCAAATTATTCACATAGCCTACTACTTGATGACTAAAAATTATGCTCATACCCAGGGGAAAAGTCTGGTACCATGCAAAGTTGAATGGGGTCCGGAAAGCTCCCCACCAATAGATGGAGCATTTCCCCGAGGACTAGTGGTACTTGCTCTTACCAGTACCACTAGCACTGCAGGCCCGCAGGGGGTTTCCAAAAAAAAAAAAAAAAAACGAGACAAAAAAAAGAATGGGGTCCGGCCGGGTATATATGCATGTTGGGTGCTGGGACTGGGTGTAGGGGAAAGCCGGGTACAAATTCAATTTTCCCTTATCAAGAAAAAGAAAAAGAATGGGGCCTTTTCCAGAAAAAGAAAAAAGAATGGCGGAAAACTGAATGGATCCAGCGGCCTAGCTCAGTTGGTAAGGCACCCAAGTGGCATTCAGGAGGGGTTGGGTTCAATTCCCATCGGCCTCGTGGTGCCTGGGTAAGCTTGGCGCCCACCACCTAGAGATGGGCCTTTGGTCCCCCCGAGTGGCAGTGAGCAGAGACTGCTGATGTTCATAGGCGGAGGGGCCCGGTGGGGAGGCACCGCGACTGGCCTCATCAGAGGTGCACCTGCTGGTGGGTGCAGCTCCCGTGTGTTCCCTCGTTGGAGGCTTGAGCACCGGTGTGCCTGCTACGGGCTCCCCGTAATACTATAATAACAATACCCGGGTCCTCAGCCCAGATGCAGCGTGTAGTGTAGTTTGTGCGCAGGGTGTGACAGACCATAGCCGTCCAGAGGCCACAGATCGGACGGCATATGGCGAAGACGCGCGTTTTATAAATGGTCAGCCTCTTCCATTGATACTTGTCATTTTCCCATTTGTTTTCTGCGAGGAGGGAAGGCAGCGTTTGTGAGGTGGCCGTGTAGTTAGCCACCTTCTGAAAAGCAGGGTGGCTAACTACACCGCGGGGTCTGGTCCGGAGGACTGAAAAGTTACGAAAACGGAGCGAAATAGGGCATGGGGGCGGTCGTGGTGCCAGGCCGCAGATCCATGAATCTGTCAGTCTCCGTAGTGCAGACAAGATCGCCCCGTACTGAGGCTGAATAACACTATTGATTCTCCCCTGCCTCTGGTATGGGGAATAAGAACCTCAGAAACTGTAGTGCGGCGTGTGGGATCTCTCAGTCTCTGAATGTGCAAAACGATACTGACTCTTCCGCTGGAACATGAACAGATACATTGCCTTCTTTTTTGTCTTCTCTGCATGTGGAGAGTAGTGCAGGGAGGCCAATAGCGCAGGGATCACAAAGGCGAGACTTGGAATCCGCCGTTGCAGAAAAGCTCATGTTTTTCTTTTCTTTTTTTTCAGAGACTTACAGTCTGATTCTCGCCTACTTGGGGCTCAAATCACTGCTCAGGAAATGCCTCTGGGCAGAGTGTGGGGATTTTTGTTTTTCCATGGGCCGGTCCTTTCTTTGGCCTGTGGAGATCAAAGGCAGCACTCTTTATGGCGTCCGGCGAAGATCGGCCGCACCCTCACTTGCTGCACAATTTTTACAATGATGGGAGTACCGTGACACATGGCACGGGGCCATGGCACAGGGCCATGGCACAGACAATATTGCGGATGTACATTTCCCGCTCTCCGCTGTCACACCGTGTAGTTTTCAGGCACTACACGGTGCATGTGGGCCGAGGCCCCCGCACGGGACAGGCTGAAGAGAGGCGTTTTCATTATGGGAGGTCCCCGGCGTCTTCATTATGGGTCTCGTTCCACTACTCGCCATCCGCCACAAGTCATGGCGAGGTGCGACGATGCTCCATAGCAGGAAATGTGGCAGAAAATGGATCGTGGTTCCAGTTCCTTGTCACCGCCACACAAGGCGGGGTTTCCATCCGGTAGACACAGCGTGACAGCGGACTGCGGCCGATGGTGAGGCAACGGAACGGTGTGGCCGTTTTGCCACGTTTACGAAGTGGTACCAGCCCGGGCCTGGTGGGGTGGTCCGCGACCTCATGGTCCCAGAAGGTTTGAAGGTCCTGGAACCAAAGGAGACTGGGAAAAACTGATATGCACGGCAGAAATTCGCCAACACAAGGCAACAGAGACCGAGCGTCAGGTTGTTGCTGTCAGAGGGGACCACCACTCTAGGAGTTCCATGGAGAGGAAAGTCCGTGGCAGGCAGGGGAAACTAGAGGCTTTGGTGATGGGCTGCCAAATACATCTGTTCGTAAATCCTGACTATTCTCTTTTTATTGCGATTGGCTATGTGATGGAACGAAGGCACGCCGGCCACGCCTGGCAGATGGCGAATAGTGGAACGAGGCCCTATGGGATGTCCCTGGTTGGGGATGGGACTGGCAGGGAGTGCCTCTCCCAGCCCGCTACGGCATTCATGTCAGGGACGCCTGGCCGGTTTCATGGTTTTATAACGTAATGACAATAGAAAAGGCCTGAAAGGCCGTCCTGTCCAGATTCGACAGGTAATTGAAAGACAATGGAAAAAAAAAAAAAAAAAACGGCGATCTGATTGGCCGGCGAGCACATGCAGACGAAGTTTTATGATATTTTTAGACTGAATATCGTTAGTCGGCTACTGTACCCAGGAGCATGGTCCCACTAGCAACGGGGATTGAATGAAGATCCTGAATCTTGGCATGTTTTAGGCAGCGATGCAGAAAAGGAGTTCAATCTCGATTTTCTGCACTTGTACTCAAAACGCGGCCAGATTCGGGCGTTCAATGCAATCCTCTTTGCTAGTGGGACCTCGCCCCAGGACGACGCCAGCTGGCATGATGAAACGCATGAAGAAGCAAGCGCTTCGTCATGTCATTGGAGTCGCTGTAAAGAACAGTGGAACCCAGAAAATAATGAAGTTCTTTGGGACATCCGCACCTCTCCACAAACAAGTCCAAATTAGGGCATTAGGGAAACTCCGCGCTCCTAGTGGGACTTGGCCCCCTGGGCACAAGGCAGGCACATTGTGACAGTCATACTCTATGTCTCTCCAGTACAGCCAGGCACGTCTTTCACCCTTCTTTTATGGAGCAGGCCGCCTCCCCCTCCCTCCCTCCCTTCCCCCCAAGAAGAAGGCACCCCCAATTACAATTACAACACAGAGGGTACAGCCGCCACCCTGGGTCGCCGACTTGAGGGCGGGCTCAGTATTTCACTATTCTTTTTTGGAGAAGGCCGACCCCCCCCAAAGAAAAACAGAACGCACCCCCCAATAACAACGCAGAGGGTACAGCCACCCCCCTGATTGTCGGCTTGAGGGCGTACTCACACGAGCACTTTTCAGAATGCATCTGACGCCAATGCCAGGATGAGCCTGGCTGCAATCACGTCCAGAGCTTTGTGGGAAAAGTCCTCGTGTGAAATCGTCTGGCCTTCCCCCAACTCGCCTTCTTTTTTGCGGAAGACCGTATGCTATGCGTGCGTGCCAGTCTCACGTCCTCTTCGGCTGAAGACCAAGGCCGTACTCACACGAACTCTTTCCCGAATGTATCTGTTCGCTTTTTCGGTCAGGCTTTGAATGCACCAGACCGCAAACACGACCACAGAGAAGTTGAAAACCAGGTCGTGTATGGTTGAATTGAATCGAAAAAGTTGTCGGACTCACACCAGTCAGCGGAGTCACACGTAAACTCTCTGTTTTTTTTTGTTTTTTTTTCTCTTTCTATATTCTTCTCTCAACTTCTGTTTTTGCCTTTCACTACCTACTAGGCTACTCCTAAGGCTATCTAGAGGGGACCCCTGCAAGCATAGTTTCCTCTCACTGTGAAGGGGAGATTTCATGTTGCCCCTCTTCTTTGTTTTTGTTCTCCTTCTAGATGCAAATGATCACGCCACGGATGTTTTTTTTTTTTTTTCCTCTCTCTCTCTCTTCGTCCAGGGTGTTGTCGATGCCAGTTACTAGGCTCACATTGATCGCCGGAAGCTGTCAGCCATGGTTTCCCTGAAGAGACGAGGCTACATCCCATCCCATCCCCCATCTTCGCGTCAATACTCCTACCGCACCCCCTATTCCCACTATCCCAGCTCAGGGTGACCACGCAAGCGCTTCTTCATTACGCGACCAGATCGCTTTTTTACTTTTTTTTTTTTTTAGACCAATACTTCCATTCCAAATCCACAACGTGTTCGAGGAAAAAAAAAAAAAAAAAAAAAAGAGTTGATTGAGAAGAAGGGCACACTGGTCGGGATCTGCTGGGATCACTGCCATATAAGGGCCTGTCTAGCTCGTAAAGTGCGCAAGTCCTTTGCTTCGGAGTGTGGTTCGTTAGTATCTTGCATGCAAACGTGGACTTGGGGATGTGCATGTGGCGTAACGTGTCCCGTTGATGGAGCGATAGTGGGAGCGATTGGCACGACAGGCGGAGAGGCGGATTACAAAAAAATCGAAGGGAGGGAGGGAGAAAGCAAGAAAGGGAGAGTGAGGAGCAGCGATCACACTGGTCTGACCTTCGAAGGGTGAGGTTGGTGTGCACGTCCTCTGCGCGTGTGTGTGTGCGTGTGTGTGCGTTGTGTGTGCATCACGTTGATGTGCATCTTCTCTGTGCGTTTGTTTGCGTTTGTTTGCGTGTGTGTGCGTGTGAGTGGGTGTACGTGTGCGTGTGAGTGTGTGTGCGTGTGTGCATCAGGGTGATGTGCATGTCCTCTGTGCGTGTGCGTGCGTGCATGTGAGTGTGTGTGCGTGTGTGCATCTACGTACATGCTTGTGCATGTGTGAATCAGGGTGATGTGCATGTCCTCTGTGCGTGTGTG